GTGCCTTCTGAGCATCCTGAGCGGCCTTATCTGTTGGTTTCGGTTGGGGTCGGGCCGTTTCACGGGCCGGACCTCGGTTGCTTCCATGACCAGTCGGCACCGGCGTAGGAGCTCGGCCACGGATCAGGTTGTGAATGTCCAAGTCGTCGCTTCCGCAGCTCGTCATAATACCTGCACAAACATTAGTCAAAATCAATGGATCTTGTCACAATATCATACCACACCCACAATTCAACTGTTGGCATTCTAAATTCCACTCAAAGTCGAATCTTCCTCACCTAAAATATCCACAAATTGTACGGTGAGAAAAGAAAACATCTATATGTAAAGCACACAAGGAAAATCCACAACATAATCTCATCATAACTCATTACTTAATGAAATATTCACAACCACGTCTATATGTCCTAATTATATCAATCATGCAACATCTTCACATCACAATTCACAATCACACCAATCCATCACATCATATAATATGTACTATGTTAAGCTCACGCCACCCCTGTAACATCTCATGCCCAAGGTCGTGCCACACCAACATAAATACTAATTGCCACACATAAATCTTGCAATTAACACTATGCCAAGGTGACGCCACCCTTGTAGCATCTCTTGCCCAAGGTCGTGTCACCCCTAACATAAGTGTGAGGAACCACAATCACATTTCATTCATAATCATCACAAATCTTGTAATTAACACTATGCCAAGGTCATGCCACCCCTGTAGCATCTCTTTCCCAAGGTCGTGCCACCCTTGATATAAGTGTTAATTGCCTCACATCCCACACTATGCCATGTTCACGCCATACCTGTAGCATCTTTTGCCCAAGGTCGTGCCACGCCGACATAAGTATGAGGAACCACAATCACATTTCATTCACATTCAACACATCTCATTTCATGCCAACATACTCACATCATAATTAATTGAACAATTAAGCCATAACATGAGCATATCCCAAGGAATCCAATTATCATCTAGATCATCAATTTTACCAAATAATATAACAACAATATTTATAAGTCAATATAAAACTCGATTGAATCACCAATTTAATAGGATCTTAACTCAAATAGTAAAACCCCCAATTTTTCCAAAACCTAACTCAAGGCACTTTTCTACAATTTTGTTCTCTCTCCCAGATAATCATTTTTACAAATTATTTACATATTCTTAATCCTCAATACATGCAAAATCTAATGGAATCATCGATTTCTCAAACATAAATAATTATAAAATTATCCATAATCCTATGGAATTCCTCCTCTACCCAATTCCCTCATGTAATTTTGCATACAAATAATCCCCTTTTCTCCCGTACCTCGATAAGTAGTAGCTGAAACTAAAGCAGGATCTGGTTGGTCTCCTCCTCTGGGTTCCCCTTAGTCTTTAGAGAGTGTAGAAGAAGAGAAGTTAGAAGTGAAAAATGTCCTTTTGGGAGTGCCAGAATGTGCTATTTATAGACATTAGGAGTGGCCAAAATGACCCATTTCGAATCTAGAACGGCCCATTCTGGATTCATTCGTCATGTGTTAAATTTGCGTTTAAAACGACTCGTTCTTAAATCAGAACGACCTGTCCTGAAGTTGGCCGGTTTTAACTCATAATGGCCATGTTTGGAATGTCCCGTTCTCAACTAGGGTTTTAGGCATTTTTGGTGATTTGGAACGCCTCGTTCCAGTTTGGGAACGACCCGTTCTGGGCTACTAAATCACCCTTAATAAATTTTATGAAAATTTCTAAATTACCCATCATAAAATGTATGAAAACTGGGGTGTTACATTGTTCATTAATCATGTGCATCCAAACCACTTGCTTAGGCAAGTGGAAGTCCAATCTTAATGGGGTAGAAAATTTTTTGGGCCATCCAAGCCCAAATAAGTCTATGGCCTAGGCTAATTACACCTCCCCTAAACTACTAATAACACCCTTAAAGAAGAATAAAAGGACAAGCATTCCTATACTACTTGACCCAAAATACATGAACAAAAATATCCTATACAATCACTACTAAAAATGTAAAACAACAATAGGAGTCCTTAAGGTAGGATACACTTCCAAATGTAGGGAACCCTACAAAATAAGGGTAAATGCCCTACAATTCTTCAGACCATCTTTATCATCCTTCATCCTTTTTGGTTTTTTTCCTTCCAAAGGGGTCATTAGGAAGTAGGTTTCCATCATCCCCTCCCTCTTCAAAAGAATTTTCCCTCAAATCAAGTGGTTGTTCCACATCAACAACATCACCTACAAGAAAAACATGAGGCAAATCATTAAAGATGACATATTCATATAATATGTGTGGAAAGTGCACTGTATGAGGAATTCCTTGTATAGTCCTAAAAAATGTCTCTAGACTAGGAAGGATAGATTCTCTAAGAATAAGGATAGGATCCTCACTAGTGTGTAGTTTATGGTGGAAACTAAAACCTAAAAAGGTAAAATTAGTAAATTTATTATCTTTCTTCACAAACCCTTTGGAAGAGACACTTTCTTCACAAACCCTTTGGAAGAGACACTTTCTTCCTTACTCTTCTCCAAAAATTGTGTCTCTTTTGTTTCTTTTCTTTTTCTATGGATGGTTCTCTTTTAGTGTAATTCTTGGAATATTACAATTTTTCATTTAGGTTATTAGGGTGTAAAAAGGTAGAGGATTCCTTCTTATGAGAAGTTTTCCTTTTGATTCGTTGCTCTACCCTAATGCAAAGTTGGACTAGTTCACTTAAATCTCTATAGTGTAAAAGTTCAACCCTATCTCTAATCTCAAGATTAAGTCCACTTTGGAACCTAGCAATGGTGGTTTTTTTTATCCCCCCTAATACCTACCCTCATCATATAGAGCTTCATGGTTTGTCTATATTCTTCTACACTAAGGCTTCTTTGTTGAAGTCTTTGGAGCTTGTTCATTAACTCCTTAGCATAGTATGAAGGTATATGCCTTCTCCTTAAGGTGCTCCTAATCTCATTCCAATATTGAATTGGAGGGTCATCTCTAAATATTTTCTCTCTTTCTAAGGAGGTCCACTAACACACGACTTTCCCTTGAAAGCTCAAGGTAGCTATGTGAACCTTTTTCTCTTCATTCACTTTGTGGCAAGTGAAGAGTTGTTCCACCTTATCCTCCCAATCTAGATATTCTTCTACGTTGTCTCTACCATAGAAGTGGGGAAGGTCAACTTTAGATTCTCTATGTTCATGCCTAGGCTTTTGTTGCCTTGGGGTCCTTGATAATCATCATAGTGATGACTACCATAAAACCCTTTATTGGAAGTGATATAGGTGTGTGTGTGTTAGCTTTTAGGCCTAGAAGTTCCTTCTATACATTTTCCTTTAGAAGGCTTAGAAGGTCTTTCACCATCATGGTGTCTAAGTTTGGAAGGCCTACTTTCATTAAAGCCCTTAGGCTTTTTAGTTTCACCATTTCCGTGGTTAACCATAAGTTTAACTAGCATCTCTTTCAACTCCTCATTACCCCTTCTAAGTTCTTCATCTTTTTTTTTTTTTTTTTCTTCCTCTCTTTTTCTATTTTCCTTTTTTTTTTTATATTTTCCTCTTCCCTTTTCTAATATATTCTTTAAATTTTCTAAGTTCTTCTCTAGTACTACTCCTATGACTTTGGGAATTATAACCATGCACACTATTATTCCTCGAATGATAATTCATTTTTGTAGAAAAATATTTTCACAATTTTTCTAATAAAAGGCAAAAATAGAGTGATAAATATTTTCACAAAAAGTTTTCCTTTTTGGTGCTAGACTTAGTACTTGGAGGTCTATGTATACAAAGTGAACTATCAAGGGAGGTGAGCTACTAAGAGCCACTTAATAACCAAACATTTTTAAGTAAAAATTACTAGCTAAACCCCTTTATACTTGTCTCACGAAACAATTTTACACAAAAATTTAAGTGTGGGGCAACCTCCTCCTCTTGAGGCTCTGGGACCTCAATCTCGGCAACATTGTAGCGGTGCTTTAGCTCACGCCACTTGTTCCTCCCCATGATGCCTGCAAACACAAGAAATCAATTACATCAACAAAAGAAGCTTTTATTACCGGAAGGGTCCTATAGGCCACGTGGATCGGCCACGTGGACCGGCACGTCATATCCTATCATATATTGACGCAACTCAGATCACTTCGGCTCAGCAATAGGTCACAAGGATCGGCCACGTGGACCGGCACGTCATATCCTATCATATATCGACACAGCTCAGATATCACTTTGACTCGGCAAGGGACTGAGAACCGCATCCATCCCCTATCGGCTCGGCCAAAGATGACGTCTCGGCCGTCCATATCGGCTCGGCCGAAGGTCAACAGAAAGAATAATTAGAATGACGATCATGATTAACAAGGGACAAAGCACAATTAAGGCATAACCCGCCGATTAACATCGTATTACCTAATTTGGTAAGTGTCAGAGAAGGCCCATCATGTTCAGGCCCATGTCAGGTATTATAAATAGGTCACACGTAACGAGGTATGTCACTGTTCAATTATTACTCTCTTGAGAATCATGTTTGTCTTGACTTGAGCATCGGAGTGCCTTTTGCAGGTACCTCCCCCCCTCTGAAGATCCATCCGGAGCTCTCGTTCGGCCCTTTACCCACCTGAAGATTACGAGTATGCCCTCAGACAAGTACATCTTATATTTGAGGAAAAGACTAAGAATCAGGAAGGGTGATTTCTTATCAACTACAATCTCTCTAACACGTGTCTATTGATATGTTGTCATAATCAACAACATATATGCCATATGCTCAATTCACATGCATGCACCAAGGCTAGATTCACAACAATGTTCAATGGAATATCATTTTATAAAAAGTTCCAACCACTATCAACCTCAGTGGGATCTGAATCAGGCCTCAGCTTCCGTTAAAGTAGAAAGTTGTAGAAAAATCCAAACTTGTTCGGGACAATTATGCGAAAAAAGATGGAGATAAACATCATGATTAATTAATCTCTTTATTAATTAATTAGTTTGAACTTTAAAGTGCTTACAAAATTATATATAGCTTGTTAAAAACAACACACTACACTCTTTTTTGATTAATGGGAAAATGGAGAATTTGCTAACAATAAGGGACAACATAAAGATGACATGCCGAAGAAAAAAAAAAAAGAAAAAAAAAAAAAAGACATCCTCATTTACGATTCAAAGTGCTTATTCTTGACTTCTTTGGTTAATATTGTTAACTTTCGTGGGATCCTCAGGGATAGGAACGTTAATAACATGTGAAGAGAACTTGTTGGAATCGAATTTCTGATCAGTGAGTGACCCTGGATTTTCATCAACCTGAACACCCTTTAGAGACAAGGGTATATCCTCTGTCACTTTGTTCTCCACTAGTTCTTTGTGCTTTCCCCATAGAACAGAGTATAAGCCTATAATGATCAAGATGGCACCAAGCACACTGCACAAGCCAAAAGTCAAATTCTCCAATAAGTTTAGTGCATGATTATTAAGAAAGATCGAATATTTTTTCATAATAATTGTTTATCTTTTAAAAATTCTCTTAAAAGTTAAAACAAAAGTGATTGTATCATTAAAATAAGTTGAATTAAATATGATAAATATATATATATATATATATATATATAACTAAAACTAAAAACTTGGAAACTACAAAATTTTGAATTTAATTCTTATGTTATGGTGTAAAAATTTCTATGTCAAGTGAATGAATTATATATTACATTTTTTGTTTGGATTTTTATAAAGAAATGAAAAAAATTATCACTAAAATATATATTTTAGTTTGTCATAGTGTATGAATAGGTCATTGTATGTACTAGTCTTGTTTTATGTAATGAGAACAGCTCTCCTAATATATATGTTATTTGGGGGTACAAAAAGATACAGTATTATTTTTTATTCAACTTTCTTTTGGGGTACAGAAAATGTCTAGATGCTTCTTGGGGTATAAGAAAGGTGGTAGATTAATGTGAATATTCATTACACATATGGATGTATTATATAAAGAATTTAAGAAAGAATATTTTCTCTTAACAGGTGTATCCAATTTATAGTTAGTGCGGGGGAAAAGCCACCAAATTAATCCAAGTAAAATAAATGGTTTAATTCGGATTTTATTTGTTGTTGTTGTTGTACAATCCAATTAGAAAATATTGTGTCGTCTTACTTATTGTTAGTAATGAGTACATAATTGGCTTATTTTGAAAATTTTTGTTTATTTTTTTTTATATTTTAAAAGTATTTATTTTCGTAAAATAAAATTTCCAATCATGAGCAAGGTTTATTAAAAATTACCCTCCAAGAAAAATCTGTTCTGCAAGGATAAGGAAGCCCATGATGGCTACAATGATCATCATGAGAGGGCTAAATGCAGTTGCGAAAACAGGCCCTTTCTTCTTAATTACCAATCCTTGGACATAGTATGATATGCTTGATGTAACAATCCCCTAATACACACAAATTGTGAAAATAATCATTTAACTAGCATGTTAGAGAAAAAGACCCGTAGTAAATAATTAAATGGAAGAAGAAAAAATAATAATTAAAGATGTTATTCTTACAGCATAGGCAGCAGCAAGTAAATTCATATCCCAGCCAATGGTCCACACGGATGGCTTGCGTTCCATAACAAAAGTAACAGCAATAGCTTGAAGAGTGCCCATGAAGCAGATAAGAAATGTGAGGCTTAGCTGGTGATTTTTGTAGGTTTCAATGGCTTTGGCCTGTCCAATAAACATGGAACAAATTTGTTTCAAAATGAGAAATTATCACGCGATTTTAAATTATATAATTCATTCATAACTAGACTTTATATAACAACACGTAATTAAATGTTATTATTTTTTTTAATAGATTAAAAAAATTAAATACATAATATATCCTGATTGACTGAAATCATAGGCACTTAGTAGTGTTCAACTTCATAGAAATGATCTAATAATAATTTCTCTGGCAAATTAACACACACATGATTAGAGAGCACAAAAAGTTGGGAAACTTTTAGGTTTATGTGGCCTTACTTGTAAAACAAAGAGGCATGACCAGGCAAGGGAGGCAATGATTAGGAAAATGGAGCCTATGAACCAATCCTTGTCTGAAGATGTGGCACTTGTTGCATTACTATTGATTTGCCTATGATGAAGTGCTTGTTTATTCCAAAACATCCCCACTACAGGGCCTTTGTACAAGGTCATCAACAAGGCCCCAGCCACAGTCACCAATGTTCCCACCACCTTTGCTTGGCATCTCACCTTCTTCATGTTGATCTTCTCCATCCTTTATAAATAAATCAATCCATAATTAAAATCAATGTTAACAAAAACTCTTAGAAGTAAGCAAAAACAACCCTTGAAAAATAACTACTTCTATTGGAAATTGTACCTGCATAAAACTGCCATCACAAAAGTCATTGCAGGAAGCACATTACTCAATGCACATGAGAAAGTTGGGGACGTTAATTTCAACCCAGCATAGTAGAAGTTTTGATCAATCACAGGCCTGTGTACAATATATAGTAACCAGTACTTGATGTAAGCAACTTATTCATTTATCAATGTATTAAGTCCTCTGAGAGGAAATTCAATTTTGTCAAGAAAATTTTAAAATAAAGACGAGTTTTTCCAAGATATATTCTAAGTGAAACATATATATATATATATATATATATATAGCAAAGAATATTGCATCAAATTATGGAACTGACCCAAGTAGAGCTAGGATGAAAATTTGCATGAAAATTGAGAATGTTATCCTTGGCTGAGCTTTCCTGTGAAATTGAAACCATGCATTGGCATTAATAATTTGCTTTTTGTATATATTAACAAGACAAAAGCTTGTTATGACTTAATTTGTTCCAATAAACTTCATAAATCTTTTATTTTTTTTTACTTTATACAAGTATTTACAAAGAAGTTTATCCAAATATAAAGTGCATGTTTGTTGTATGAACCTTTCAAAGATGAGGGCAAATGGAGCGACGACAGCAGTGGCAAAGGCATGGCGATAAACAACGAGAACATAGTGGCTCATGCCACGGTTGAGGGAAACCTTACTGATAATGTTCATGCCTGCATAGCCAAACTGCAAAGCGATCATGGCAAAGTGATGCTTAGAGTTTTCAAGGAAGTTTGCACAACATCTAAGCTTTTCAGTGGCCATTTCGGTTATTATGGCGTTGGAGAATTCCGAAAGGCTTGTGTTTGAGAAAACGGTGGAAACAAAATATATTAAAGAATCAAAAGGAGGGCACAATGAAACAATAGATAACCAAAGAGAGGACACTAGAAAAATAGGAAGAACACTTGGAAGAAATTAATGTTTGTGTTTCTTCCTAGGGAATAGCATGGAAGGGCTCCTATTATTTATACCAACATGGAATCAATTGTCTACGTCATATGTGTGCTTAAATTTTTAAATTCTGTGGCCTCTCTCTCTAGTGGGGTGGACGTAGGAATCACTTTCATGGGGGCAGGTCAATACGCATATATTGGTGCTCAGATAGAAACTAAGCAACAAAATAAACTTTTGATATATAATATATAACGGAATCAAGAGAGACGAGAAACCTATAGAATTTAGTTTGGTAGATCTATAATTTTCTCTCTTTGGATGTCTTTAGTAAAACTAGTTTATAATATAGGAGAAAGTTTACAAATTAGTCAAGAACTTCAAGCTATAAGTTAATAATAAAAACGATGAAAATTCATTATTTTATTTTATTTAATCGAAAGTGCTTGATAAAATTATTGAACTAATAATTATAAAATGATATAAAATAGAGTTTTTAATTGTAATGACAGTAGAAGAATAATAAAATAGACAAAATAATTTCAAAATTAAAAAAATAAAAAATAATTTTAAGAAAGTTAATGAAATAAATAAATGAATAATGGAGTTAAAAGTTTATAAATTATAAAATTATAAATTACTTCAATATAATTAGTTGATGAAAATAATTTATAAATTCTCTAAATAAGTTCATATATCAAATAAGTTTATTTTCCTCAAACTAGCTTATAAGTTTGTCAAATTAGCTTATAATCTTTCCAAATACATTAACAAACACACTTTTAGGGAATGTACTAAGGTACATAAAAAAAATAATAATACACAATAAATGTTCAAATTGTTGTACAACTTTTTATTTTATACATTATATGGTGAATAATGGACAACACACAATAGTGTTAAATTTATTACAATATTTTTAAATGTTATGATGAATCATTATCTTAATGAAAGAAATAATGATGATATTTGTTATGACAATAATAATATTTGTAATGGTAATAATAATAATAATAATAATAGTGATAGTGACAGGGTGATGGTCAGTGACAATGAACGATGATGATGGATTGCAGTGGCGATAGTGGTTGATGACAGTAGTGATAGGTGAGGACAATGGCAATGCTGAGTGGCAATAGTAAGGGTTGGGATAGTACTGATATAATAGCATATTTTATATAAGAGAAAAAATAAATGAATTGGATAATGAAATTAATAAGAGAGAGAAAATATTTTATTTTTATTTAAAATTAAATTAAATTACTTTAATATCCTTTGTACGAATTAACCAAATCAAAAGAAATGAGTGATTTTTTTATCCTAAAATTTTGGTGTAGGTTGCTAACATACTCCCACTAAAAAATAGGTAGGAGTATATTAGCATTCCCCTATATATATATATATATATTATATATATATATATATATATAGAGAGAGAGAGAGAGAGGAGGAGGAGGAGGAATCCGTTTACTTCAAGAGTAAGTCTAAATAAACTTACTTCGTTCAATAACTCGTGTTATAAATCAGATTTTAACAATCCAATTGTTAAATTTAAAGTTCTTAATGTATAGATCAAGTTTGTAAATTTTTTAAAAATTTGAAAACCATTTAATACTTCGTTTTAATAATTCAAATCGATGAATAATCATTTTATACTTTGATTTGAATTAATGAAACGAAGTATCAAATGGTCTTCAAGTTTTTAAAAAAATTGTAAACTTCATCTATGGATTCAGAACTTTAAATTCAATTATTAGATCGTTAAAGTTTAATATAGAACATGAGTTATTGAACGGGGTAAGTTTAGGTAGGCTTATCCTTGTAATATTTCAGTTTCATGATTTTTACCGAATCAAATAGCCCTTAAGCATGTTATAAAGGAATTGGATTCTAAAAAAATGCTTGGACGGATAAACTTTACTTTTGTTTCAAACAAATTTGTATTAGGTACATCCAACTGTGGTTATTCTTAATTGAGAATATTCTTCCTCTTAACAAACAACAGATTAATAAATTAATGAAAGAGATGAACATCTACCGAGCTTCCTTTAAAAAATTTAAGAAACAAGCTAAATTCATTTGCGAAATACCGTATCTGCTTACAATAACGATTTCCTTTCTGTTAGGCATACTCGAAAATCATGTGACTCGAAAAGA